ATCACCATCTACTCTGCTGATGTACTCTCTAGACCCATGGGCATTGTCACCTGATTTGCCAACACACCCTAAGGACCTGTGGTTATATTCTCCTTTATACGTTATCTTTCCTAATTAGAATGTGCTCCTTGAGAGTAATGGGTTTCCTGATTTTCTATTTTAATCCCCAGTGCCTTGCAAATATTGATTACTTAATGTATGCTTTTTCATCCATTCATTCATCCATTCAATCATTCATTCATTCATTCATTCATTCATAGGATTGGTTCCCCAAAATAGATTTATTACCAGGCCTACAGCAAACAAGAGTAATCAGCTTAAGATTTAGATTAGACATGCAGAACAATTTCTTTGTAACAGGAATTTGTGGAGATCTTGGATTCTTGAACCTCTATATGTCATCCTAAAAGGTCAACTTGCCTTTTGATCTTGGAGTCCTTTATAACAAATTATTAGGATCTAGGAATTAATTACAGAATACCTCACCCTTTAATGATAGTGCCCTGTGCCCCATATTCACAGACCTGTTGGGAGCAAGCTCCTACCTGGTCCAAATTCTTACCATCCAAGACAGGTCATGAAAGCAACAGTGGGACACATGCGAAAATCAGCCCAAGTTCATAGATGGAACCAAGGGTCTGGCTTCTATAGAACTCAGGAGCATTACCTAAGGCCAACCCTTTGGCAAACTTTACCCGTCTGAACAAAAATGTAGTGGGGTCTGCAGAGTAAGTGGTTCTGCCTTTCAGGGGACAATGTGGTTAAAGGAAACTCCTTCTGCTCCTTAGGGAGAATGAGGATTTCTCAGAGATTAGCCCAGGCCAGTCTGGGTTCTTGGAGGAAAGAGCTTTGTCTTAAGGGTTTGAGTTCATATTTTGTCCCTTGGGCCAACTAAGGAAGACGGGACTCAGAGCTCATAGTTGAGACTCTGGTATCTCCTCCATCTACTCTCATAGCAATAATGGCCTTGGGTGAAGGGAAGAATAAGAAACAGTACACGCCTGCTCAGTAACCCCTAGATTAAGAGAATGTTTAACTTCCTATGAGTTGGGAAATTCTAAGATTCAACATTTTAAAAGATTTAGACATTGGTGGGACCACCTATGGAGTTTTGAAGGATCTATAAACATGGAAGTTTTACAAAGAGCACACAGGCTGATTCACTAAGCAGGCAATTTATTTGGTAGTGACTTATTAAAGAATCTTGTATTTGGGTATGTTTATATAGGTCCTAGTAGATATGTTCACACAAAAGAAAATGCAATGGGAAAATAATTGGTTTCCCTTAAATGCTCATTTAGGAAAATTTTAGAAAAACAATAAAATGCACAATGCAAAATTATCTATAAAGCTTGGTATATTACTTGCATAGGTTAGGAAAAACAGTAGGTATCACATAACATAAAATAATGCAGAATATGCTAAAGTTCTCTTGTAAACAGAATAAATGACTTAATTCAAATATGAGGAAGTGATATCTATAGCTATATATATATATACATCTGCAGATATATACAGATAGATAGATATCCCCTCTGAATCTTATCATCATCAGGATCATAGAAAGAATCTAATTAGACAAAGCCTGGGAATGGTTCTGGTATGTCTTCATGATCTTAAAAGAAGACTGGAATGAAAGGGGAAGAGAAATATACTGGGTGGGGTGGGGGAAGAGGGAAGGGAATGGAAGGTTAGGGAAAATTATCTCACATAAGCAGGGTGCTCAAGTAGACATCTATACAAACAAAGAAGAGAGGGTGGGGAGAGCAAGTGACATTTCAACCTCACTCTCATCTGAACTAATTAAAGGAAGGAAGAATAAACAAATACATGTACAAAAATATTTATAGCTCTTTTGAGGCAGCAAAGAATGAGAATCTGAGGGGGTACCCATAAATTGGGGAATAGAGGAACAAGTTATGGTATATAAATGTTATGGAATATTATTGTGTTGTGAGAAATGATCGGGGCAACTAAGTGGTTCAGTGGATAGAGTGCCGGCCCTGGAGTCAGGAGGACCTGAGTTTGAATTTGGCCTCAGACATTTACCAGCTGTGTGACCCTGGGCAAGTTACATAATCCTGTTTGCCTCAGTTTCTCATCTATAAAATAAGCTGGAGAAAGAAAAATGGCAAATCACTCTGTCAAGAAAACCCCAAATGGGGTCACAGAGAGTCAGACACAACTGAAATGACTCAACTACAGCAAAGAAATTATTAAGGGGATGTTTTCAGAGAAACATAGGAAGACTTATGTGAACTGATGCAGAACAAAATAAACAGAATCAGGAAAACAATTTATACAATGGCAACAATATGGTAAAGGCAAACAACTTTGAAAGAATCAGGAACTGTTAATGTAATGACCAACCATGATTCCAGGGAACTAATAACGAAACATGCTACGTACCTCCTGATAGAGAGGTGAAGGACCCAGTGCAGAAGGAGATAAATTTTTTTTGGACATGGTTAATGGGGAAATTAATTTTGATTGGTCATACATATTTGTAATGGGTTTTGTTTTTCTTTAGTTTTCAATTAAAGAGGAAGGAAAGCTTGGGGCTTGGGGTGAGAAGGCAAATTTTTTGCTGATTGGAAAAAATAAAATGTAATTTTTAAATAGACTAAAAAACATAAATTTTGAGAAAAAAAAGTATAAGCCATTGAGTTTGACACTATTCCTAGTAAAATTTAGAATGGATTGTTAAAGTGATGGGTGGTGCATACTTAGGAAAGTGGTGAACACTATGAGGCAGTATAGGTCCAATAAGAGCAAGTCATACTAGACCAACCAAACATCCTTTTTGGACAGGATTACTGGGCTGGTGGATCTGGGAAGTGCTATGTACACAGTATGCCTGAATTTCAACAAGGAATTTTTACAAAGTTTCTTGTGATATCCTTTGAAGATAAGACGGAGCTGTGTGGACTAAATGATTTGGAACTAGTTAAATGACAGGACCCAGAGAGTAGTAATAAATAAAATTTAAGTCTGCCTGGAGGGACTTTTTAAAGGGATACTATTAGGTTCTATTCTTGGTTCTGTTCTGTTGAACAATTTTATTAAAAGACTTTGATGAAGACATAGATGGCATTCTTAACAAATCTGCCGATGACAGAAGGGTGGGTGGTACAGAATCACAGACTTAAGAGTTGGGAGGAATCCTAGGAGTCACCTAGTTCAACTCACACACAAATCAAGCGTCTTGTTTATTATATCCTTAACAAATGAGATCATTCAGACTCTTGGTAGAAGACTACAGGTGAGACAGAACTCACTTCCCTGAAATACAGTTCATTTCCCTGGAAAGTTCTTACTTTTTAAGATGTTATCCCTCTATCAGGCTGAAATTTTCATATAGAAAAACTAACACAATCTTAGACTGCATTTGGGAGAAACCCAGTGCTCAGAATGAAGGAGATGATGGTTCCACTATACTCAGCTCTAGACTATCACAAGGAGTATCATGTTCAGTTCTTGGCACCTCATTTTAGGAAGGACATTGACAAGTTGAGTGTGTCTAGAAGAGGGTGACCAGGATGGCAAGGGCATTGGAAACCTTGCAAACCATGCAAAGATTAGTTGACGTAATTAGAGCTGCTTAGCCTGGCGAGGGACAAATAAGATAGTTTTAGAATTGGAAGGAACCTGAGAAATAATCTAATCCAATTCTCTCATTTAATAAAATGAAGAAACTGAAACTCAGAGATGTTTCAGTGGCACAATGGATAAGAGCATTGTCCTTGGAGTCAGGAGGACTTGAATTTAAATCTGGCCTCAGACACTTACTAACTGTGTGACCCTGGGCAAGTCACTTAATCCCCATTGCCTCCAACCCCCTAATCTACTTAGGTATAGACCTGTTGCTGACCTTTATTGATAGAGGGAGTTTCCTCACAAGGGAGTTCCCTACATTATAGGTCTAGACCATAAAACAAAACAAAACCACTCCTGAAGTCACATAGTAAGTGGCAAAAATAAAATTTAAACCCAGATCTCTGATTCTAAATTAATTGCTCGTTCTTTTTAATTTTTTAAATTAAATTTTATTTTGAAGATTATTAAGCATTTATTCATTCTTCTCCACATGTTCCTCCCCTCCACCACTGGAAAAAGAAAAACAAACCCCTGGAAAACAAATTCTCAACACACTGACTAAAGGGTCGTCTTGCACAAGAGGGATTGGATTTGTTCTTCTTGGTCCCAGGGGGCAAAATTAGAAGTAGGGGGTGAAGTAGCTTGGCTCAATAGAAGAAACTTCCTGACAAAGCTACCTAGAAATGGTATGGGTTGCCTCCCCAGGTAGTGAGTTCTGTTCTACTGGAGATATTCAAGTGATGGCTGAATGACTACTTGGGGATTTTATAGAGGGGATTTATTTTCAGGGAGAGATTACAGTAGATGGAGAGAGAGTGCTCCATAGGAGAGTGCTGGATTTGAAATCAATGTAAGTTGATTGAAGATGGAGTCTACCACTTGTTACCTTTGTGGCCCTAGGCAAATCACTCCACCCATCTAGGCCTCAGTTTCCTTATCTGTAAAATGAGAAGGGTTGGATTGCATGGTCTCTATGGTCTGTTTTGATCTGAATCTATGGTGTATGAGCCCATAACTGTTTCCCCAAGATTCCTTCCACATCTAGCTTGCTAGGATTCTACCATATACCCTAAAAGCATGATAATGATGGTTGAGGATTTAAGGCGGATATTTGGAAAGTCTAGAGGAATGTTGAAACCCAGTAGCATATCAGGGACAGTGACACCATACCATAACAGACAATCAGTGCCAACATTTCTCTTCCCTGCTCATTAACTGTCCTATATAACCCATAGTTCTATCTTCAAATTGATATACTTATCAGAAAATATTAGTTAATAATTAAATACAATAAGTATTTCATTTTGCTTAGATAACTTATCACTAATAACTGTTCTTTGTGCAATAATGACAGTATACTACATTCCAAAGTGAGTAGATCTTTTATTATCTAAATTCCTTACCTGTATTGAGTAGGATGTGTTAAACTCACTGTAGAGGTTGGGGATCTGAACATCGGATCCATTGATGGTGCAATGGCTATAGGGCTCACCCATCCGCTCCAGTTTATCCTGAAACCCAAATGGAGCACAATTTTAGAAGAATGTAAGCTCCAAGCAGACTTCAGAAAAACCTGGAAAGACTTGTATGGACTGATGCTGAGTGAAGGGAGCAGAGTCAGGAGAACATTGTACACATTAACAGCCACATTGGATGAATAACTTTGATAGACTAAGCTCTTCTCAGCAATGCAAAGAGCTAAGATATCTCCAAAAGTGTCATGATGGAAAATTCTATCCACATCCAGAGAAAGAACTATGGAGTTTGAATGCAGATCGAAGCATACTATTTGCTCTTTTTTTTTCTTTTTGTTTTGTTTTGTTTCTTCTTTCTTGTGGTTCCTCTTATTGGAGGTTCTGATTCTTCTTTACAACATCACTAATGTAAAAATATATTTAATAGGAATGTATACATAGAGCCTATATCAGATTGCACACTGTCTTGGGGAGGGAGGTGGCGAAGGAGGGGGAGAAAATCTAAAATTCAAAAGCTTATGGAAGTGATTGTTGAAAACTAAAAATAAATTAATTAATAAAAAATAATAATATGAAAAAAGAAGAATGTAAGCTCCTTGGGGAGATATAATTTTGTTTTTGTTTTTGTACCTCCAGCACCCAACACAATGGCTGGTATACAGTAAGCACTTAATAAATGAGTGTGAATGAATAAACAAAGGAATTTACAACTTCAGGAAATTCCTGGCTATTCAAATCACTTTTAGAACCTTTTAAACAGTCATTCCAAGTTTACCAGCATATCCATAGAAGTCAGAATGTTAAGAAAGTTAGGTCATTCTTTGCCACCCCCACCCCCACCCCCAGCCCCACCAACACTCCAAGAACAAAGATTAAGCTTCCCCTTTCTGGGGCTGTTTGTTATTGTCCCAGAGGCCACAGAACCAGAGTCATAGATATCTGGGAAGTATTTTCAAGATCACTTAGTCCAACACCCCATTTTACAGATGGGGAAATTGGCTGCTCATAGAGGGGAAGTGACTTACCCAAGGTCATCCAGCTAGGTAATGAAAGAGCCAGTGTTTGAGCTATTTATCTCCTGCCTTCAGTTTCTCTCTCTCTCTTTTTCTCTCTCTCTCTCACACACACACACACACACACACACACACACACACACGCGCATGAAGGAGTAACTATATTTTGATAACTATTTCAACATAATTAGATTTTTTTGTATAAAATGCCTACATTTTATGTATTTAAAAACATTATTCTGAGATGAGGTGCATAAGCTTCACTGGACTGCCGAAAAGGCCCATGTCACAAAAAAAGGTGAAAAATCCCTCCTCTGATTCATCCCTCACATATTGTCAAATTAATTTATTTTTCTAATATACTTTCAGACCATATTATCTATTTCCACTAGGAACCTTCCATGACTTCCCATTAAGGTGATGTTGTTAAACGAGAAGTCAGTCAACGAGCATCTTTTAAGCACTTACTACATGCCAAGAAGTATGGGGTGTTCAGGGAGGACTAGCACCTCTGGTGTGGGGGGCTTGCCGAGCCCTTCTCAGGGCTGCTCATCCACCCTTGGTGTCCACCTGGTGCTCAATTCCCACCTGTGGCTTCAAAAAGCTGTAGCATATGCAGTGGTCACACCTTGGTAAAACCATCTCTGCAGACAGGCTAAACCAGGTTGAAGGTAACCAACAGGCCTCAAACCCATTGGTGAGTTAGGGGCATGTCTACCTTAATCATGTGAAGACTTTTCTGGGCAGAATGGGCAGATGAGAACAATTTGTTCCAATGGCCATGAAGGGGGCTGAAGCAAGCACTGTGGAAAGCTTACAGCTTGGTCAGGCATTGAAGACACCAAGGTCATCCACTGTATCCCAAGCCATTGCCAGTCTTTTTGACTTTTGTCCTGCCACTGGACTTCAATGACTCAGGAAGAGACAGTGAGGCTGATGACTTTGTGTAACTCTGCCTCACTTAAGTCCAGTTCACTTACAAGTCAAGACATTGCCTGTGATATCATTGGTCCTCTTCACAAATAAAGGACAAACAACATCTTGCCAGGCACTGTGGTAAGCTCTGGGGATACAAAGAAAGGCCAAAACACATTCCTTGCCCTCAAGGCGGTCGCATCCTAATAGAGAAGAGTAGCCTTAGGGCAGAGAAAGGGAACAAGGTTCATACTTCAAAGCTAGGGAGGGAAGCCTTTGGGAGCCACTGTCATTTGGAAAGCCAAGTCAGCCCAAACCAGAAGTGGTTCTGTGTTAGGCACAAGGATTGCACTAAACATATGTATTGACTGATGTCAGGTTTTCTCTGTGGGTGATGAGAAGCTAGCACTGCAGGCAGACAAGTGCCAGATGGGGCTGGGGCAATGTTAGAGTGAGGCCCCTCCTAGGACTCCACAAAACGATGAAACACTGGGGAGAGGGAGAATAGGGGAAAGGGATTCTAGAGAAGACCCATGCACACACTGCCCTTCTGCAAACAGTGCTGACTGTGATCAGGAGGCCATATGACACTCCCATTCTACAAATACCTCTCCGGTTTCAGCAGGCATGGCCTTGGCTGTGCGCCCAAGAGTTCAATGCTTCTCTCAGAAGGCTAATGGGGTAACGTATACATACCACCAGCACGCCAATGGAAGTCTCCGTTCCAGGCATGGCGTAGATACCCGCATCTTTGAGAAAAGGGTAGGACTTTTGCTCATGGAGCATCAGTCTTACCCCAGCTGTGGAGGTGAGATAGTGGACGTAATCCTTCTGGTCAATGTCTAAGATTAATTTCAGGCCTGCAGGAGGAAATTATGAAGGCTGAGGACTCAGGTTTGAAGTTGGTCCAGGAAGAACATTTCAGCAGCAGGGGCAGCTCACAATCGAGTCCATGGACATGAGGAACTGCTTACCCTCTCTCCTTCTCTTCCTCTTTCCTTTACCTACTCTGCAAAGGGAGGCCCATATCTTATTTTGGCAGACCAGAAAGGCCCAGTCAAGGAGCCATGATCAGCTACGTATCCCTTACAGAAAATCCATATTTAACACATATAAGTTAGCAGGTCATGCTTCTCTTTAAAAAAGGAATTACAGAATTATGGAACTTTAGAGCTGGTAGAAATGTTCGTATTCAATATTCTCATTTTACAGAGGTGGACATCAACACCCAGACAGATGAAAGAACTTGTCCACAATATTGCAATGTCAAAATGACAGAACTGGAACCCAAACTCAGATCCCTTGATTAATCTTTCGTCACATTGCAAAATTGCTTTAAATAGCAAACATCCCCAGGTATTTGAAATAATTAATGTCACAAAACCCTAATACACAAATCTTTTAGGGACAGAAGGATTCCTCTGAGTGAGACATATACTACCTGGGGACCTGGGTTTGAGTCCCTGCTCCAATCCTGCCTGGTTTCAGAGGTGGCTCCTAAGAAGATTGCTCAATGTCACATCTATTTATTCCACCTTGACAATCTATACTGCCGGGCTTCCTGGATCCCCAGGGCTCCGATTGGGTAGAAGACAAGATTCTTTTTCAATTTGCCGCACATTGCCATCCTTGCAAAGACGCCAGGAGACCAGGGCACTGCATGGGTGGGTCCCTAGACTTGGAATAATGATAATAATAGGTAACAAATTATATAGCACTTTAAGGTTTATAAGGAACTTTATGTCCCTTTTTTTTTGTTTGTTCCTCACAAAAACTCTGAGTCAGCTGCTATTATTCGCCTTATTTTACAGGATAGTGAGAGGTTAAGTGTCTAAAGGTCACACAGATGGTAAAATGTCTGAGGGACTATTTGAACTCAGTTCTTCCTGACTTCAGGTCTAATATTCTACCACTATACTATAGTGCTTCTTCTAGGAAATGGACAAATATTCCTGCTTAAAAGCCAGAGCAGTTTCACTTTTTGTTTTTTGATTCCCTCTTGTGCACCTAGCACAGACCCTGACATACAGCAGGCACTTAATAAATGCTTGCTGCTTGACCACACCTCAGTAATCTCTCTCTTCCCAGATGTCCTCCATTTTCCTACCTCTTGGTCCTCTTGTCTCTCTGGGGTTAGTTGGTATATCCCTCTATTGCTGATCTTTGAGATACAGTTAAAAGAAAGGACTCAGGCCTCTTGATCCCCATCTGGTACCTTAAGCCAAACTCCTACTTAGATGATTTTTAAAGGAACTTTCAACAGCAAGAAAAATTGGATTTTTGAAAAGGAGATTCTGATTCTTGGCTGCCTAATTTCTCAGTGTTTTCCCAAGTCTTAGATGGGACTTTGAGATTTCTACCCTACATGACGGAAGCATAGTTCAATTCAATTCAACATTTATTAAAAACCTACTTTGTACTAGGCACTGTGATTGGCTGCTAGTATGGGACAAAAGCTAAGTAGTCCCTGCCCTCAGAGAGCAGGAGAGCTAACATTTACACAAGTAAATGCAAAGAAAGTATAAAAAAATTGATACAGAAGAATTTCAACACTGGGAGAATGTCAACAATATAAGATAGGCTAGGGATGGGAAAGGTCTTATATAGGTGATACCAGAAGCTGTGCCTTGAAGGAAGCTAGGAATTCCATAAGAAGAAATACCCTGTTTTTTTCCTCTGGGGCAGGGAATGTTTTTGGTTTTGTCTTTCTATCTTTAGCTTCTGCATAATGCCTAATACAAAGCAGTCGCTTAATAAATGCTTGTTGGATTACATCGATTTGAAAAGCCAAGATTCTGGCACATGACTGTCCCTTGGACAGCCCTTGCCTATTTCTACAACTTACCGAATTCAGTTCCAGGGTTGGAGGAGAGTAGAGCTTTTTCATTCACGCCCCAATTGAAGACATAGCAGTTGCCATAGTCAGGATGAAATATTGCAGTGAAGTTCCTAGAAGAAGTTCTCATTAGTGATAGTGGCTGTGCCATAGATATAGAAATTCCCAGGATAGGTCTTGGTATAAGACCCAGTCTCACTGCTGGCATCTGCTAAGTTTGCTTACTCTTCAATCCTGGGCCACCCCACCTGATTCAGAAATGAACCTAGAACTCCTCTTCATTGCAAAATCTAAAGTCATAGGCCAAGGGAATGGATTAGAGGACCTTAGTGTATTCACTTCTAATGCATTAACTCAGATTTTGTTGTTGTCATTGTTCAGTTGTGTCTGACTCTTCATGACCCCTTTTGGGGTTTTCTTGGCAAAGAAAAGTGGTTTGCCATTTCCTTTTCCAGCCTATCTAACAGATGAGGAACTGAGGGAAATAAGGGTTAAGTGACTTGCCCAGGGTAACACAGCTAGTTAAGTGTCTGAGGCCAGATTTGAACTCAGGAAGCTGAATCTTCCTGATTGCAAGCCCAGTGCTCTATCCACTGCACCACCTAGCTGCCCCATTAACTCAGATAGATTTCTTTAAAATCCCCAGAAGAGATTATACAACTTCCCCACTCCCTTCCCTCTCCTTTGGGTTTGTTTTTAAATCAGATTTTTGGATGCCTTCTCTTTTTGCATCATAGTCATTTTGGGGTGCCTCCCATCCCAGCCCTAACTCAGGCAGAGAATTGATTGAACCCTACCCTTGCAACAAAGAATAACACTTATGCAAAAACAACCAAGAGGTGACTGCATCAGACAATGTATACAACATTCTGACCCCGTGGGGCTCTACTTTCTTATTGAGGAGGGGGCACACATTTTGTTACCTGTTTCTCAGGAACGAAGATAGTTTATGACCTCTTTTGGTAACAATCTTAGAACTGGAAGGAAACATGTGACCATCTACTCCAAATCTCTTTGACAAATGAGGAAATAAAGGGGCAATATTGCTCAAGGTCACATATCTATTGAATGGAAGAGTCAAAATTGGAATCCAGGTATCCCAATCCTAAATCCAATCTTTTTGCCCCTGTTACCACACAGCATTTCATGGCCTTACAAACTGTATAGTCATGTAGTTGATCCTAATATCTAATTGAATCCTATCCAACTATAGTTTAAGCTCAGCCCTCCTGTCCTGTGTTTAGTGGAAGGGGGAAACACTGCTCAGAAAAACATTCAGTGTTGAGCAGGGGGCTTCAGGTATGCCCCATTATATGCCAAGCCCATTCCTTGAGCCTCAATCATTATACTGATTTCTAAAAACAATTGGGTCTTCATTTATCACCTACAAAAATCACTTGGAGAGCTACATGGATGGTGTCAATTTTGGCTTCCCTTCTTTGAGTCACTTTTCTGGAAGGTGGCAATCTTGTGTGAATGTGGTCTTGGCAAAAGCTGAAATGTCACTAACACTGTTTGCCAATAGATTTAAGAGAAGGAGGCTGGGAAAGGAGACTTTGGGAACCCAGGCAAATAGAGGAAATTGAAATACAATATCTGTCATGGTCAAACAAACTTTCCTCTCTTCCTCGTGGCTATGTTTGTCCCAGCACCGGGGACATGTGAATGACGATGAAGGTTCTTGTGAATTCCAGGTGACAGGAGGGAGGTGTTTACTGGGGCTAGTCAAGTGGGACCTGGAAAGAGGGCATGATGTCAGGGAGTTCTCAAAGGGTCACCAGTTTGGAGTAGACAGTCTCCAAACTCAATACAGGTCCTGGGTTGACCTTCAACCTGTAAACTAAGACTGCTGTTGACACGGAATCCCAGCACAGACACAGGAAGTCCTAGAGGGACTGGTGTTGACCAAATGAACCGAAGCCAGGCTCTTCCTTGGTGGAGAAGACACACCTGCTGGGTGTTCTCCTTTCCCAAGGACATGCTGTTCCCAACTCCGCATTGAAGTCCAGGGAACACAATATTGTGGAGAGAGAGAGGCAGGGCGGGCCCATATCACCACCCCAGTTTGAGTCTGCAATCTCTCCTTTGCTCCCCACTTTGGACAAATACAAATTATTTGTTCATTGATAATATAGTTTATTGAGAGCAAAGGCAGTTTCAGGGATTTTCATGGAACAGCTCAAGGTGCCAAATACAAAAAGAGGAGGGAATAATAAGGAAAAAAAAGTCTCTCTGGGCTGTGTCTTCTGGCTGCTATGTCTGGTGGGCACTTAGACTCCTAATTATAGAACTGGAAGGAGACCCCAGAAGCTGTCTAGTCCAACACCCTCCAAGTGAGGAAACTGAGGGCCAGAGAAGTTCAATAATGTGACCAAAGTCCCACAATTAATAAGTATGAAACTTAAATCTGACTTGAGAGTCAGTAAGTGTGATATAGTGAATAGGGCACTGGACTCAGAGGTCAGAAGGCCTGGGTTCAAATCTCACTTCAGATCCTTATCAGCCATGTGACCTTGAGAAAGTCATTTAACTTGTCTGGGCCTTGGTTTCCTCATTGGTAAAATGAGGAGGTTATACTTACTGTCCTCTAGTGTCCCTTCCAGCAGTAAATCTATGCTCCTATGACTAGAGCCAGTCCTCATTCCGCAGTACCATACTTCCCTTGGAAGTGCCCTAGACAGCAGGTGGGAAAGGCTTGAGAAGAAACTGCAAAACAGCTGAGAAAAGGAAAATAGAGTTCCTCCAAATGGTAGATGTGGATACTCCATGGCTTTCAGGTGTCTATTGACGCAAACAACTGTAATAATAACTAACATTTAATAATGATAGCTAGCATTTATATGGCCCATTAAGATTTGCAAAGCACTTTACATACCAGGTGTCCTAAAAGTCTTAGTGCAGTTTTAAGTTATTAAAGCTTTAGTGTCCCAAAAGTCTCAGAAAACTTAAAGCTATTAAAGCTTTGGTTTCCCAGTATTCTTAGTGCAATTTTAAGCTATTAAAGTTTTGGTGTCCCAAAAATCTCAGTGCAGTTTTAAGCTATTAAAACTTAAAGTTATGAAAGCTTTGGTGTCCCAGAAGTTTTAGTGCCATTTTAAGCTATTAAAACTTAAAGCTATGAAAGCTTTGATGTCCCAAAAGTCTTGGTGCAGTTCTAAGTTATTAAAACTTAAAGCTCTGTGACTCAAAAGTCTCAGGGCAGTTTTAAGCTATTAAAGCTCTGGGGTCCCAAGAGTCTTAGTGAAGTTTTAAGTTTTTTATGCTTATATATTATCTCATTTGATCTTCACAACAGTCCAGTGAGGTAGGTGCTATTATTATCTCTCTTTATACATATGAGGAAACTGGGGCAGAGAGAAGTTAAGCGATTTGCCCAGGATCACACAGCTAGTAAGTGTCTTAGGCAGGATTTGAATACAGGTCTTCTATTTATATATACCTTTAGCATTGGTGAAACCCTTGACATACATTATCTCATTTCATCCTGTGAGACAGATACTACAGTTATTATTACCTCCATTTTGCAGATGAGGTAATTGAGGCAAGGTGGCTAAGTGATTTGCTCAGAGTTGCACAGTTAGTGAGTAGAATTGCACCTCGGTCTTCCTGACTCCAGGTCTAGAATTTTATCCACTATACTATAGTCCTCTCGAGTCTTCTCCTTGCTCTACTTTTATCAAGCCTGGAACAAACTTCATCCAATTTAATGCAACAAACACTCATTAGGTACCTACAATATCCACGGCACTGTCCTAGGCTCTGAGGATACAGACAGAAATGGAAGACAGTCTCTGCCCTCAAGGAGCTTACATACAACTGGAGGATACAACATAGAAACATAGAAGTCAACACGAGATAAACTGCGGAAAGAGAGAAACAGACTCAAGGTTCTCAAGACTATTTCTAAGACAAAGAGAAAGCAAAAGATACCAGGAAAAGGGAATATTGATATAACTTGCATATGTTGTTTTCTTTTCAACTGACTAGGGGATGTTGATAGATATGTACTGTATTATTCATGAAAGACATAATAATGGCAGATGGATTTGTCCATTCTTTTGATCTCTGGTAGGTCTAGGAATAATAGGAGCGTTTAGAAAAGTAACTTCATTAAGATGGTATCAAGACTTCTTTGAGGACACATTTTAAAAATTTTTATTTTACTTATTTTTTGCTAGGCAAAGGGGTTAAGTGACTTGCCCAGGGTCACACAGCTAGTAAGTGTCAAGTGTCTGAGGTCGAATTTGAACACAGGTCCTCCTGACTCCAAGGCCGGAGCTCTATCCACTGGACAGCCTACCTGCCCAGGGGGACACATTTTAGTACAGTGAAAAGAATACTGGACTCGTAGTACAGAAAGGGAGATTTGGTTTCAAGTCCTGATTCTAGTACCTCCTAGCTAGATGACCATGGAAAAGTCATTTAATCTCTTTGAACCTCAGTTTTCTCCTCTGTAAAATGGGGATAATACTTGTAGCACTTACCTTACAGGTGAGGACCAAATTAGGAAATGTATATAAAGTGCTTTATAAGCCTCAACAGAGGAGGATCTTGGGGTTTTGTCACCAGTCACTGCAACCACAGGGAACTGTGGGGGATTCCCTCTACCAACAGATCTCACAACCTATTTGTGACTTAATAGATAAGACCTAAGGTGTGCCCTGGCACAGCCCCCTGTTGAGTAGGTTAGAGGATTTCGCCAGAGTCCTGTAGTGTGGAATAGTGGAAAGAATGCTGGATATGGAATCAGAAGATCCAGGTTCAAATCCTAGTTCTCCCATTCACGGTGGGATTTTCTAGGCCTCAGTTTCCTTATATGTAAAAAGATGGGAGTTGGACTAGTGTGATGGTGATGGAATTTGAAATCATGCCAGAGAAGCATCAGTTGAAGGAACTGGGGATATTTAGGCATCTTTGATAATGCCAGGAGAAGGTGCTCAAATTTTCCTTAGGCACATTATCTGGCTCTCTCTTTTGCCCCTCTCATAGCATGACTAATATTTGGGTACATGTATTTCCTCCCAGGTGGAAATTGACTTCTTGATGGCAGAGATAGCGCCATATTTCATCTTCATATTACTAACGCCTTGCACGTTGTAAGCATTTGTGTAGCAGAAAGAGTGCCATTGGGTTTGGAGCCAGGACAGACTTTGCTCACCTGGTTCAAATCCTAGTTCTGACATTTACTGTAGTATGACTATGGGCAAGTCACTTAGCTTGTTTGGGTCTCAGTTCCCTTAATTGTAAAGTGGGTATAATAATGCTTGGACTATGTACCTTTGTGTTGGACGTGGTCTAGGTGAATTTTGAAGTCCGTTTCTAGTCTAGGAACCTACGATTGAGATTTGGTAGCAGTGCTAGGGGTCATTCTGTACAGAGGAAGGGGAAGAGGAGAAGGAGGAGGAGGGGGAGAAGAAAGAGGAGGAGGAGGAAGAGAAGAAAGAGGAGGAGGAGGAGATGAAGATAGAAGAAGAAGAAGAAGAAGAAGAAGAAGAAGAAGAAGAAGAAGAAGAAGAAGACAACAACAACAACGACAACAATGATGACAACAGGAAAAAGAGATGTATCCGTACCTGTGATTGCAGGGTTCTGCCCCAAATAGGCAGGCCAGGATCATCTGGTCTGCTGAGTAGCCCATCTGGATCCTCTCTTCCGGGGGCACCTGAGAGAGGATGCTGGTGGACTGTAGGATGTACCATTCTTTCATTGCCTGGGCAGCACTGGTGAAGTTCCAATAGGTGCACACTTCGCCATTTTGACTGCACTGTGGATGGGAGAAAATCCAGGGTAAGGTGGTGCTGGACCAAAACTGACAAACAGGCTTTTGGTAGACTGTCACCCTCCAAATGGAGGTCTTCCTTTCCCGATCCCCATAACTCAGGTCATTTTGTAGGACTGCTATGGACAATGGCCTGATTTAGGAGACAATGAAATCTGGATGCTTCTTGGTAAGAGGGTTTGGTCTCTAAGGACCCTTTGAGTTATATCATTTTATTATCTTTGTTCTAGGACTCCTTCAAGATAACTACTAAGGCAGTGTGAATACTTCTGTCCCCCATATTCCCTCCTGAATATAACACTTTCTCCACTTCAAAATCTGTCTCTCTGTCTCTGATGTCTCCACCTTACCCTGCCTCCTCTCCCTCCATAGGGCCGAGCAGCAATTTTGACTATTCCCTTGGGACAAATGGCTCAATATTGGAAATGGAGGGTGGAGCCAAGATGGTGGAGGGGAAGCAGTGACTTGCTAGAGCTCTCCCCCAAACCCCTCCAAATACCTACAAAAAATGGCTCTAAACAAATTCTAAAGCAGCAGAACCCACAAAAAGACAGAGTAAAACAAATTTCCAGGCCAAGACAACCTGGATGGCTGATCGGAAAGGTATATTGCGCCGGGATGGCAGAGGAGCACAGTTTGGCTTGGGCGCGCAGGCCGCAGCGACCCTGGATCAGGCCTCAGAGGACTGAATCGCGGGCAACTGTGGCGGTTTCCAGACTTCTTAACCCATGAATGCCAAAGACAACTTAGAAGGTCAGTGGGAAAAGTCTGTGACTCTGGTGAGAGAAGAAGCTAGATCTCAGCCACTCTGAGGGCAGCGCCTGGCTTCTGAGTTTCCAGCCCACAGACTGAGGGGGAATTGAGTGGCTGATCAGAGGGGGATTGCAAAGATCTCTCTGTCAGGGCTGAGGCAGGAATCTCTTGCTTTGCCTGTGCTTGGATCTGGGTCACAGTTCTGAGGGGCTGTCCTGGGGTGAGGAGCAGCGCTGGCGTGGCGAAGCTTGTTGTGGTGGTGGAGAGGAAACACCTCGCCCCTTATCAAAGCACCTTGGAAGAACTGACACTTTTCGGGTCCGTAGAAGTATCTCTGAAAACAGCTGTACAAACCCCCAAAGCTTGGGACAGTACATTCTCCACATTGGAAACAGACTCTTACCTTAACAAAGAGTTAAAAACTCAAGTAATTGGTTGGGATCATGAGCAAGCAGTGCAAAAAGAGTCAGACTATATTATCTTACTTTGCTAACAAAGAAGATCAAAACATACAACCAGAAGAAGAAAACAAAGTCAAAGCTCCTACATCCAAAACTTCCAAGAAAAATACGAATTAGTCCCAGGCCTTGGAAGAGCTCAAAAGGGATTTTGAGAAGCAAGTAAGAGAAGTAGAGGAAAAACTGGGAAGAGAAATGAGAGTGATGCAAGAAAATCATGAAAAGCAAAATAACAGCTTGCTAAAGGAGACCCAAAAAAATACTGAAGAAAATAATATCTTAAAAAGTAGCCTAACCCAAATGGCAAAAGAGATCCAAAAAGCCAATGAAGAGAAGAATGCCCTAAAGAGCAAAATTGGACAAATGGAAAAGGAAGTCCAAAAGATTACTAAAGAAAATACTTCCTTAAAAATTAGAATAGAGCGATTGGAAGCTAGTGACTTTATGAGAAATCAAGACACTGTAAAACAAATCCAAAAGAATGAAAAATTAGAAAACAATGTGAAATATCTCATTGGAAAAACAACTGATCTGGAAAATAGATCCAGGAGAATTTAAAAATTATTGGGCTATCTGAAAGCCATGATCAAAAAAAGAGCCTAGATATCATCTTTCAGGAAATTATCAGGGAAAACTCCCCTGATATTTTAGAACCAGAGGGCAAAATAGAAATTGAAAGAATCCACCGATCTCCTCCTGAAAGAGATCCCCAAAGGAAAACTCCTAGGAATATTGTAGCTAAATTCCAGAGTTCCCAGGTCAAGGAGAAAATATCACAAGCAGCCAGAAAGAAACAATTCAAGTATTGGGGAAACACAATCAAGATAACACAAGATTTAGCTGCTTCTGCATCAAGGGATCACAGGGCATGGAATATAATATTCCGGAGGGCAAAGGAGATAGGATTACAACCAAGAATCACCTACCCAGCAAAACTGAGTATAATTCTTCAGGGGAAAAAATGGTCATTCAGTGAAACAGAGGACTTTCAAGCATTCTTGATGAAAAGACCAGAACTGAATAGAAAATTTGACTTTCCAATACAAGACTCAAATGGAACATGAAGAGGTAAACAGGAAAGAGAAATCGTAAGACACTTATTAAGGTGGAACTGTTTACATTCCTGCATGGAAAGATGATATTTGTAACTCATGAGACCTTTGTCAGTATTAGGGTAGTTGGAGGGAAAAAATTATATGTATGTATATATATATATATATGTAGATAGATAGATAGATAGATAGATGAATAGATAGATAGATAGAGGGTACAGGGTGAGTTGAAGATGAAGGGGTCATATCTGGAGAATAAAATTAAGGGGTGAGAGAGGATTATACTAGGAGAAGAAGAAAGAGAAAGGTAGAATGGGGTAAATTATCTCACAAAAAAAAACAGAAAAGAAAAGGCTCTTACAGTGGAGGGGAACCAGGGGAAGGTGAGAGGAAATGAGTGAATCTTATTCTCATAGGATTTGACTTAAGGAGGGTATAACATACCCTCAATTGGGTATGGAAATCTGTCCTACCCTACAGGAAAATAGGAGGGGAAGGGGACAAGAGAATAAGGGAATGATAGAGGGGAGGGCAGATTGGAAAAGGGGGTAATCAGAAGCAAACGCTTCTGAGGAGGGACAGGGTCAAAAGAAAGAACAGAATTAATGGGGGGGCGGGATAGGATTAAGGGAAATAGAATTAGTTTTTTACAGCATGTCTGCTATGAAAGTGTTTTGCGTAACTGTACATGTACAGCCTATATTGAGTTGCTTGCCTTTTCAATGAGGGTGGATGGGAAGGGAGGAAGGGAGAAAATTTGGAACCCAAAGTTTAAAAAACACATGTTTTAAAAAAAAATGTTTTCACATACAATTGGGAAATAAGATATACAGGAAATGGGGTACAGAAATCTATCCTGCCCTACAGGAAAATAGAAGGGGGGGAGAAATAGCAGGGAAAGCAGACTAGGGGAAAGGGTATTCAGAATGCATGCCATCTTGGGGTGGGGGGAGGGGCGAGATGGGGTGAAAATTTGGAACTCAAAATCTTGTGGAAGTAAATGTTGAAAACTAAAAATAAAAAAAAAATAAATACTGTAGAAAAAAATATTGCAAATGGATAAGGTTTTATTAATGGAAATTATGAAAGAAGATGCATTACTTTCTGCTTTGCTACTACACCCTAAAGACCATAAGGCTTTTCCATATGATTGGCTGCCAAAACTCCCTATATGTGTTGTCTCCTTCTGTAGCAGTGTGAGTTCATGAGAGAAGGGGCTGTCTTGCTTTTCTTTTTGTATCTCCAGTGCTTAGCCCAGTCCTTTGCACACAGTAAGTGCTTCATAAATGCTTTTTCTTCCCTCTTTCTCTTTCTTCTTTCCTTTTTCCCTCCCTCCCTCCCTTCCCCTTTCTTCCTTTTCTTTCTTTTCTCTCTTTTTCTCTCTCCTTCCTTCCTTCCTTCTCTCCTTCCTTCCTTCTTTCCTTCTTTTCTTCCTTCTTTCCTTCCTTCGTTCCTTCCTTTCTTCCTTCCTTCCTTCCTTTCTTCTGCTTTCTACTCAGTCTCATTGAGGGTCATACATATTCTCCATACCTGGGGATACATTGCTTTTCTCCATGAATAAGAAAAAAGGAACAAGCCTTTACCCTGATATCCTTTCTAATCACCTGACTGTACTTCCATTTTTTTTCTTTTTGAAAGTTTTATTTATATTCTTTAAAAAAATAATCACTATTTATTTTCTGTGACTCCTCCTGCTACTAATAGAACCTTTACTTGTAATAAATAAGAACACTCAAGCAAAACAACCAAACACATCGGCTATGTCTGAAAACACTTGTCACATTCTGTACCTCTCTGCTGAGAGACAGCAGGCATGTTTCATCATCAGTCTGCTAAGTCCTAATTGAGCACTCTGACCGTACTTTCCCAACAAGCAGACTATTGCTAATGTGGGAAGTCTGTTTTTAGCTGGTCTTTAATGTACAGATCACTCATCCCGTCTCCCTGCCTGCCTCTCCTGGTTCCCCTGGCCCACCACAGTCTTAACCTATGGCAGAATTATGTCTGTTTTTGACAGAAGGACAGGAGATTTTTTTTTTTGGTGAGGCAATTGGGGTTAAGTAACTTGCCCAAGGTCACACAGGTAGTATGTATCAAGTGTTTGGTCTGAGGCCGGATTTGAACTCAGGTCCTCCTGTCTTCAGGGTCGGTGCTCTATCCACTGTGCCACCTAGCTGCCCCTAGGGCAGGAGATTCTAAGTGACATCAAGGCCTACAGATGTTTTTACATGCTTTGAGACCATTAGAGTGTAAGCTCTTTGAGGGCAAGGACTAGCTTTTGACTTTCTTTGTATCCTCAGTGTTTAGCACAGTGCCTGGCATGTAGTAGGGGCTGAGGAAATGCTTGTTGCCTGAGAGACATGGTCCTCCCTAGAGATCAACAACATTCCTGCTGGCTCTATAGCAGGTCTAAGAGCTTTTGCTCTTGTGTGACCTCTGGTTAACCCTTGTCACCTGGTAAGGTGGTTCCCTAGATGTCTTGAGAGACTGGTGCTTATCTTCTGAAGGATGACTGTCATCTAACTTAGCTCAAGTCCCAAGTAGGCAGCAAGAATCAAGATCCTTTCCTTTTTCATCTTGAAAAGCTGCTTTAGCATCTAAGCAAATTTACTCATTCAAGGTCTTAGAGGACTTTGAGAATGTCCTGGGGTATCCAAAATTATCGGCCTGCCCGCCCCCTTTTCTTCCTCTTGTTGTGTCTCACAACATTGTCAGTAATTGAACAATGTGCACCTGAACAGCTGTGTCCATTGAGGGGCTTAACAAACATAGCCTCGTTGTCATACAGAGCTTGAGATGTGTGTTTTACCAATGGCAGAAGGACTGACTTTTCAATGTCACATGCAAACAGATTTCTGACCTCTGATGCCAGCATGATACAGTGGGCATTGAAATGGAGTCAGTAGACTTGGGTTTCAATCCAAGCTCTGGGAACCTTGGACAAAACTCTTGACACACCCTTCTGGGCCTCAATTGTCTTATCTGTAAAATAAAGGGATGGGACTAATTAACCTCTAAGGTGTCTCTGAGGTCTAAATCTATGATCCTTTGACCTTGGCTGGCCAGTTCTGTGCAATCTATCACAGGAGGTGGGAAAATGAGTCTGCTTATGTTAATTGTGAGAATTCCCTCAAGATATGAGGTAGCTCAGGGCCCACACAAGGATGTATGTATATAATGTACATTCTCATACATATAATCTTAGATCCAACTTGCCAGGATTTACAGGAAACGTCTTAGCATGCCTTTGTAACCCTTAGGCATTTGACCAAGGTTGCAACATTACTTTCAGATGGGCTAGTGTCAGGGAAGCCTTTTCCTATAGTTGCTATGTGGTGGGGTTACTGACTGCTCTTGTTCCCGAGGCCAGCTTTCCCCTTAGGAAAACATGAGCAGCGTTTTGGTCTTCTTCAAGAATGAAGGACAACAGGGGCAGCTAGGTGGCGCAGTGGATAGAGCACCGGCCCTGAAGTCAGGAGGACCTGAGTTCAAATCCGGCCTCAGATCAAACACTTGACACTTACTAGCTGTGTGACCCTGGGCAAGTCACTTAACCCCAATTGCCTAAAAAAAAAACCAAAAACAACAAAAACAAAACAAAACAAAACAAAAGAATGAAGGATAACAGCTAAGTGGCACAGTGGATAGAACACCGGCCCTGGATTCAGGAGAACCTGAGTTCAAATGTGGCCTCAGACACATAACACTTACCAGCTGTGTGACCCTGGGCAAGTCACTTAACCCCACTGCCTAGCCAAAAAACAAGAACAGGAATGAAGGACAATAATCAACCAATTATGGGCTTATCAGCCTGAGGGATGATACTGGGAACAAACTGTCCTTCACTGACCAAGAAACCCCACTATGGAGGGTCCTGAGTTAATTGGGAAGAATGACCATTGCCCTTTGTTCCCAGAATGGCTCCTTTTTACCCAGGAAGTGTATCCCATCCTCTTTCTCCTCCAAACAACATTGTACCTAAAGCCCTTAACAGGACAGAGACTGGGTGCTCCCTAAGAGCAGAGGTTGGTACCATCTCTTTCCCCCATATCCTTAGCCTAGTCGTAGGCACAACAACAAAGGTTTGAGAAGTACTGGTTGACAAGAAATATGGTGGGGATCCTTTTTATTGGATGGCTGCCAAAGTCCCTCCCAACCATCAAACTCTATGGTTTTGTGGATTTCATTTTGATACTGATGTTGATAAAATCTCAGCAATAAAAAAAAAAAATAAACCTAACATTTATTAGTGCTCACTATGTGCCAGGTACTATGTTAAGTGCTTTTTAAAATAAATATGATCTCATTTGATCCTCAGAACAACACTAGGAGGTATGTGCTAGTATTATCCCCATTTTACAAAAGAAGAAAATGAGGCAGACAGCAGTTAAGTGACTTCCCCAGAGTCATACAACTAGATAGTGTCTGAGGCTGGAGTTAAACTCAGGTCTTCCTGTTTCCAGATCTGGCTCTCTAACCACTGTGCCAATTAGCTGCTTTGATAAATGGCCACACCCAAAATTTGTAGACATTGCCCTTTCTTCCCTCAGTAACTATGTAGGGTTTGAAAGAAACAAAGTCACAGAATCTCAGACGTCTTAGTCCTTGAGTCTAATTCATGTCTGATCAAGAATTCCTCCTGTGTTGGGGGCAGCTAGGTGGTGCAGTGGATAAAGCACCAGCCCTGAAGTCAGGAGGACCTGGGTTCAAATCCAGCCTCAGACCAAACACTTGATACTTACTAGTTGTGGGACTGAGCAAGTCACTTAACCCCAATTGCCTTAAAAAAAAAAAGAATTCCTTCTGCAACATGACTAAACAAAACCAGCCTTCAATGAAAGCCCTTGGGCAAAGGAGAATTCACTACCCCTTGATGCAGCTGGTATAACTTTTTTTGCAAAATGACATAATGTACTATTGGCAGGCAAGTGGCACAATGGATAGAATGCTGGGCACAGAGTCAGGAAGACCCGAGTTAAAATCTAGCCTCAGATGCTTACTAGCTATGTAACCCTAGGCAAGTCATTTCATCTCTGTTTGCCTCAGTTTCTTCATTTATAAAATGGGGATAATAATAGCACCTGTCTCCTAGGGTTGTTTGAAGATCAAATGAGATGATAATTGTAAAGCATTTAGCACAGTGCCTGGTGCATAGTAGGTCCTTTATAAATGTTAGTTATTATTATAATTGTAATTATTATCTTAAAGTGCCATATAAGTAAAGCTTTTTATTATTCTCACTATTTTAGATTGCTTTCTGATAGGAAATATTTCTTCATATAGAGCTGAAATCTGCTGATACAATTTCCACCCAGTGCTCCTAGTTCTTCCCTCTGGGGTCCAACCAGAATAAAGTTGATCCTTCTTGTTTAAGACAATTCTTAAAATACCCAAAGATGGCTATCTCGTCTTCTATACACCAACCTCTCTCATAGTCCTCTCTTCTCCAGGCCATAGATGCCCAGGTCCTTCAATACATCTTCAATGTTAGTTCTCGTTTATTGGGCAAGTCCTGGAGGAAATATTTGTACATGTTTCCTGGTGGTCACTTACCAGCCTCATGGCGATTTTGCACTTCTGGGCATTGCAGCTCCCATGTGGAGATGGGGAGCTTGCCTCAGAATTATTACGGCCAAAGGTAAAAAGGTCCACGATGACAGAGTGGTAGGGGTCTCGGTTATCAATTATGACCAGGGGTGTGTGGTTCCATATGGTCAGGTTCAGGCCTTCCATGTAATTAACATCACCAGGACCAGAGTCGAGTGTTAGAATAGTCTTTAGAGCGGCCTCCATCAGGTCATCCAGTTCCTTCAGAAGATGCTTTACCTTAGAATACCTAAGGGAATTAAGTATGCCATGAGGGTGAAGGCAGCAGTTGCCTGCTGTACCGGGGGTGACCTAATTAAATAGCTTGTAGCTGTATCGTCCTGACTTCCTGTGGGGTATGGCTGTTATCCCATTCAAGAAAACCAGAGTGATGGTGCTACTGTCCTGATGACTTAATATAAGGACAGGATAAGGAGACTGGGAGGGGGAAGAACTAAGGAGGGTTAAGTTGCTGCCATTTAAACCACAAAAGAGAGGACACCCCCTTCCCAACGCCTCAGGTGGGCATGGAGAGGCAGGCACAAGCTGGTGGCTGTGCCATCCATCACAGGTTGGAACCAGAATAATCTGCATTTGGCTGTTCTGCCTGGCTGCTGGGGTCCTGGGGTGATCAACAGGGCAAGCAAACTAGCCTGGCAGACAGGTTATAAAAATCTAACAGCTCAAGATTTTGTTTGTACAAACCAGACACCACCCTTTTTTGGTGTGCATATTGAGCGAGGGGAAATTTGAGGAACTCCTCTCTGGTATTATCTACACCTGCCCCAGCCTCACCCATACAGATTTTACATGGGGGACAAGGGGGAAAAACTTCATCAAAAGGGATATGGAACCAATCTTAGATCCATATTCTCCCCAAGGCTTCCAAATGGGAGTGATATGTCTCTGCTTTGGGTACTTTTTGCAGGAGAGAGGACTAGAACCCCAGTGAGCAACCAAGGTTTCTAAGGTTTATGAGATTCAGACATGGACAAACACATCCTGAGTGTTCCATAAATGTGAACCCTGTTAAAAGTGAACACAGATGAAGAGAAGATGAAGGCAAAGGAAAAGGACCTGGGGCCTCAGTTTCCTTATCTGTAATGGTACAGATGAGATGTCTATAAAGTGCTTTGTAAATCTAAGTTATTATTATTTATATAGTCTATAAATCTGCACAGATTACATGGAAAGGATAAGAGGAACATAAATTTAGAGCTGTAAGGGATCATCTAGCTGGGGGTGGGGAACCTGCAGCCTTGAGGCCACATGTGGCCTTCTAGGTCCTCAAGTGTGGCCCTTTGACCGAATCTAAACTTCACATTCAAAGGGCCATGCTTGAGGACCCTGTGAAGTTTGGGTTCAGTCAAAGGGCCACACTTGCATATGCATAGCCAAGCAAAATAAATTCTCATATTGGCCATGTTCAGTAATGTCCAATCCCTTGTTTTACTGATGAGGAAACTTGAATTCTGGAGACATTAAGTGACTTGCCCAAAGCCATGTAGGGATTACATGCCAGAGCTGGGATTTGAACCCAGGTCTTCTGATGCCAAATTCAGTTCTACTTTGCCACCGTGCTTTCCATGACTATCACCTCTGAGGACAGAGAGAAACTTAGGTTAGCTCCTAAGAAGCTAAACTTCTTGATAGTAGAAATTGGTTAATGCTACAGATTCAGAATCTCCTTTCTTTCATAAAGAAGCCTTACACAAGGTGTCCCAAAAGCCTTAGTTTAGTTTTCATCTATTAAATCTTACAAGCTGTTACACTATTAAAGCTTAAAACTGCCCTAGGACTTTTGAGACAACCTGCATATCCATCCAGCAACCATCCTGAGCAGGAATAGGGGGATGACCAGATTTTGGCAGGGCCCCTTTCAAGCTAAGAAATGATCTTCTAAATCTCACTTTTTTTTTTTTTTGTTTGCAAAAACAAAACTATTTCTCAAGTGTCTGGGAAAAGCCCCCAGAATTCCCTGCAGTGTGTCCACTGTACCATCTCCCTTCCTCAACATCTTCTCTAGGGTCTGTCCCACTACGAGCACTGACTATTCCTTGAGTTTCCTTCCCCTCATCGCTCTGCCGCCCTGCTCTTCTGCTGGGATGTCGACATGGAACCCACCGGAAGGGGCTGGCGTTGCAGATCGTGACTGCTGGGAATTCCATAGTTTTGAAGCCGATGGAGAGGGTCACACTGACCTCCCACTTGAGGTAAGTCTGGATGAAGACGCTCCATTGCCAGAAGACCAGGGAGGCAAACAGCAGGGTGAGGACAAACCACATGACCTGCTTCTTGGGCCCCTCGCAGATGATGCGCTTGGGTCCGTGGGTATTGGTGTTGTCACAGTACCATACCAGAAGCTCCTTGTAGGTGTAGCCTGGCCCTTTCTGCAGGCGGTGCAAGCATTTCACCAGGTATTTTTTCATATTCATGTTTGGTGCTTCTTCATGGGACCTGGGGCACAGGGAAGAGAGGGGAAGAAAGGCACAAAAATTAATTTCAGCATTTCTCTTCACATATTTTTTTTTTGGCCTTTCCCCATCCTTGACACTGAATGCCAGATAAAAACAACAACCCTTCAAACCTGGGCATATCTTCAACTATCTTTAGGTGGTCTCCTCCCATAGAATGTTACCTCCCTGAAGGCAAGGACTGTTTCACTTTTGTCTCTGTATTGAAGTGCCTAGTATACAGTAGGTGCCTAATAAATGTTATTGATTGATTGAATGCTTTCCATGCTGCTCTTGTATCTCTAACTCATGAGACAATAAAGGCAGAGGGGTAGAGTGACAAAGAGTTGTATGGCACTTGTAGTTAGGAGGGATCTGGTTTTGAATCCCAGGTATGATGCCTTCTACTAATTGTATGGCTACGAACAAGTAATTTTCCTTCTCAGTTAACTCATCTGTAAAATGAAGATAATAATCTTTGCATTACTTCCTGCACAGGAAGTAAAGTACTCTGTAAAGGACCTCAAAAACACTACAACTACTTGTTACTACTACTAGCACTTACTGGCATAAGTGCTCTGTAAAAGATCTCAAAACACTACTATTACTATGGGTAGGACTAGGACTACTACTTTCACTACTACTACTATTACTACTACTACTACTACTACTACTACTACTACTACCACCACAACCACCACCATTACTTTCTTATCTTTACATCACAGTCATTTTCTGATATACTTCCCACCACCCCTATAATGGAATCTTCTCTAGTAACTAAGAATTTATTCCATAAATTTTATTCATTTAATAAATTAAAAAATAAACAATATAATGCCATTTCTGACAATGTATGCAACATTTAGCCATAGTTGTCTCCCACCTCTCTACAGAGAGGAAGGAGATCTGTTTCATTGTCTGTCCTTTGGGATCATTGTTAGTCTTTCAATTACTCAAGGTCTAGCTCCCTTTTAGGGATCTTTTCATCTATATGGTCAGAACTTATGGTGTATGCTGGTCTTTTGATTCTACTTAGGTTGCTAGGCATTGGCTGATATAAATTCAACCAGGTTTCATTAAATTCCTCATATTTATCATTTCTTGTTGCAAAATAATATTCCTTTACATTCATATACCACAGTTTGTTGAACTATTCATTCCCCAATCAATGGACACCCACTTTCTCCAGTTCTTTGCTACCACATTGCCTTTTTTTCGACTCATACTTTAAATATCAGAAATATGTCTGGGTCAAGTTCACTGTGCTAAACCAATAACTTGGTCATAGTCTAGGAGTCTCAGAGATGGAAGACCTGTGCTCTTTTCTTGATCTGGTTTCTTTTTGACTCTTGTCAAAATAGCGAATGTCTTGCGGCAGACAGTCCAGGAAAATGCTTTTTTGGCCTTCTATCCCTTATTCTAATCCTCTAAGTAGCAACTAGTTCTGACCCAAGCTTGCGTCATCTAGCCTTGCTGGGGTTCTCTAAGTTCAAAAGCTGACTGGGACAGGTTCAGTTACTTCTATAGGTCCCAAATCCAAATGGGAGTTCAATACTACCTTGGGGTGAATCCTATCCTTAACATTGGACTAGAAGTGACCTTTCTTTGTCCTGATCCTTCAGATTAGGAAAGATATGGAAACAGACTATCTCCAGAGCACAGGGAAGTCCTCAGACTCACCTTGATCCAGGCTTGTGGACCTATTTCATCAACACCATTATCAGAAAAAATTTACCGAGCACCTATGGTGAACTGGGTTCTGAGGATACCAAGACATAAAAGACACAGTCCCTGCCCTACAGAAGCTTACAGTCTAGTTGGGAAGATGCCATCAGGTGGCATATGCTAACTGACAAGTGAAGAATACAGATAGCTCAGTGGGGAGGGTGGTAGTTGGTGTCTGAAAGCTGACTCCATGAGGCATTTATTACATGACATCTACTTCTCTATAATGGTCTTCAGAGGGCAAATCAATCTTCCCCTCAGCCTCAGTTTCCCAACCAAGGAATGGTCATAGAATCATAGATTCAGAGCTAGAAAAGACCATTATAGACCCTCAAAGTCCAGCATCCTTGTTTTACTAATAAGGTGACTGAAAACCAGAAAGATTAAGTAATTTGCCCTAGATCCACAAAGGGAGAAAGTGCTAGAGCTCAGGTGTGAACCCAGGTCCTCTGCCTCCAAATTCAGCATGCTTTCCACTGTTTCTTAGAGAAAACTGTCCACAGTATGACATCTAAAATGTTTCTTTATTTTAAAATCACATTCTTAAAACATCTAGACTTTATGGTGAGAGAGACACAAGGAACAGGAAAAGAGAATATGTCATCCTTATTAAGTTTGTGTTTCTATTAAATGGACATATTCAATTCAGATGCATTCGAGTCAAGAAATCTATACTGAGGACCTATTCAGTGCAAAGCACTGTGCTAGGTCCTAGAAAAGATACATGGTTAACCCTCAAGGAATTTACTATCTACTGGAGAAATAAGCCAGATTACAAATAATTATAAGCCAGAGTAGAATGTTCTAAGCACGGGGCAGAATTACTGAGTGCTATGAGAAATTGAAGAAAGGGGAGCTTATTCACTCCCCACACCCCACTCAGACTAAGGAGAGGGTCCAGGAAGGCTAGATTAAAGAAATACTCTGAGCTGGGCCTTGAAGGAGGGAAAGGATTTCAACAGGTAGAGATGAGGAAGTTAAAGAGAGGGGTGGAGAGGATGTGTCTTAGGTCTGAACAAAAACATGGAGGTAGGAAAGGACTGGATGACTATGGGAAATGGTAAGGGGTATGGAATGTCAACTATCTGAAGGGGCATTATAAGGCTGGAAAGGCAGGTTAGGCCTAGAATAGGCTGTGGGAGGCCCTGAATGACAAGTTGAGAAATCGAAACATCATTCAGTACATAATGACTAAGCAATGGTTACAAAAAGGTACCAGGTCATTTTTGGAGTATGTTAACTTATTTTTATATTTTAATTTTATATTGATATATTTGTATTTTTGGGAATGTACACTGCTGACATACAGAAGGGAATGAGGATACTAAAAAATAAATATAATAAAGTAAGAGGGATAAGAACAGAACCAATACCACCCTAGGGAAGCAAAGAAGATAGAAGCTTCTAGGTTCTTGAGATGAGCTGGTTACTATAACTAGGTGATACATTTGGCTCTAAGATCCTTGGGCAAAAAGAAAGAAATAGAGTGAAATGTAGTTTTCATTTTAAGATCTAAGAAAACATTGATCAAAGACAGACATTTTCCTAGTACTAAACAAGCAAAATTTTGTCATGTTCCTTTAATGCAAGGGACATTGGATAGTTGACGTCTTCAATCATAATTTTACAAATGACACAAAATCACCATCCATGTGGATAATTCTTATATTGACTCAGGGTAGACAAAGTAGGCATGCCAAGGGTGCAGTTTGTTGGTGGGCTCTATGAAAGGCCTTCTTGAATATTTTTAACTAGAATTGAGATGATTTTATTGGTGTAATGATCTCCCAGCAAGGAAAATCCCTCTACTAATACAGATCTGTATCTGCGCTGCTGCTTAAAAGTTCTGAGAGTTGCCTGAATAATAATAGTAGCTAATACTTATATAACCCCGGAGGTTCTGTCTTTCCTGAGGTCCTCTCAAGCTATCTCAGGAGGATAACTACTTTACCACTTTATTTTTGTTGCTCTACATTCATTTTGTGGTGATTTTCTATCTGTTTGTGGAGAAGATCTAGAGATCCTATAAATTTCTGACCTATTCCGCCATCTTCGTATACATAGGGATTACCACGTGCCAAGCACTAAGCACTAAGTATACAAAGAAAAGTCAAACAAAACTAAAAACTGGAAGTCCAAACCTTTGGGTCAAACAGACAACATGAGGTAGAGGCCAACCCTGTCTGCCCTACTGCAGACAATCCCTCATTCTTTAATATTCCTCTTTATAAATAGTTCTGCTCTAACGTGTGTCAAAAATGTGAATTTAATCCAACACGATTGACAAATTACAGATTTTTTTTTAACATTATGTGAACTTCAAGTTTCTTGAGAAACAGTAAGAAGGCAGCAAACCATATTACTTCACAACAATTCACAAGCTACAACCCTTCCACCCACTTTCACAAACAAACTTCAAATCTTTGTCAAGGTTATTGCCATATTAATAGTATATCTTCTGGTGCAGTGGGAGCCTTCTGCTACTAGCCTTTGGTTGTAGCCTGTTCCTATCCAGGGTGCAGCAGGCTGAGCAGCAGCACTAGAATCCTAATGGGACCGCTATTGATTATAGTATTGAGGTATTTCTTAACCATTTAATATGCATAAAACTATGTTACTTTTAAAAGATGTATCATCTACAAAGTTTGTGAGTGTTGTGCCCCTAATACCACAAAAGACCCATGGTTTTTCTTGCTTTATTTGCATAGTATAAATAGTTTTTTGGACAGAACTACCTGTATACCTATTTTAATGCCAGAAAATTCTGCTTTCCATTGCACGTTGTTATTTGTTTTGGGATGAATTGCCACACGTTACATGAAAGTTCAAAGCCTCCAGGCAACAGTAAGAACAAAAGACAAATTTTTTAAACCTTACCTAATGTCTGCACACATTTTGATAAGCTCTGCCTTATTTAAAAAGAGGGCATCATGAAGAAATTGAAGCCATTTATAGTCATATGAAAAAAATGTTCTAAATCACTATTGATTAGAGAAATGCAAATCAAAACAACTCTGAGGTACTATATCATACCTATCAGATTGACCAACATGACAAAACAGGAAAATGATAAATGTTGGAGAACATGTGGGAAAATTGGAACACTAATGCATTGTTGGTGGAGTTGTGAAATGATACAACCATTTTGGAGAGAAATTTGGAACTATGCCCAAAGGGCTATAAAAATGTGCATACCCTTTGACCCAGCAATAGCACTTCTAGGGCTGTATCCCAAAGAGATCATAGAAATGGGAGAAGGACCCACGTGTACAAAAA